GTAATCGCCTGGCTACTATTCTATTTTCTTAATCGAAAACTAAAAATGTCTTTTTTCTTGGCATTTGATGATCCACTACTTCTATAATCCTCAATCTTTCTCTTTTGAAGGGAGAGTCGAACCTGAACATCATTTGCTCAAACATTTTCTTTATCTTGATTTCTGAGCTTTCCAATTCAATTTACATCTCCTCTGAACTCATTTCAATGATATTGCCCAGTTTTACTTCCATCTTCTTAAAATCTTTTTGCAACTACCCAAATGCTTTATGATCATCAGCAGTAAGTCATTTTGCCAGGGCTAGAATTACAAGTTTAAATACTAGTGATGTCTGTAACAATTTTACTTAAAAACAAGAACTAACTCAGCTAAAATATTGATAAAAACAACTATAATTAACTTTAAAATGAAAAAAAAATAATAGAAAAGAAAGAAGAAATGAGTGAATTTAATAATTGAATTTTAAAAGTTACAAAATCAATACAATATTTGCAGGATAGCATAAAATGCTAAAAGAAATGTTGAAATGAAAAAATTAAATTAAATTAAAAACCATTCCAACTATCATAACTATTTTTCAACAGACATCAAATTCTAGGATAAAAAATGGGTTTAAGTGTTGTCTTCACATTTAAGATACTATAATTTAGGGGTATGGTGTTGAAATTCTTGTTTTTTAAGATTTATTTGTTGAAATTTTTGAGAAAATTAAGGGTATTATGCTTTTTATTTTGAAAATGTTATATTAGTTAATTTAGTCATACTTGATGAATAAATATAAAATGCAGTAAAACTTAAACAGAGAAACCTGAATCCTCTAAGGATTAAACTAGTTGTAAAAATCAATTGAAAACATAGAAAAACAATCAAAGGTGTAAGACTCATATACCTCAGGACTAGGATTGTTAAAAATCCTTCAATTTAATTGTTGCAAACTAAAGTTGACCAAACATTCAACCTTCAAAGATAATCCATATAGAGAGCAATGGAGATGTTTAACAAGGTTGGGATTGTATTTAACCAAGAACTATGCTAGTAGTTTTGGTTTTATTTAAAAAATTACTCTCACTAATCTTTTCTTTTTAGGTCGAAACCTCATATACAAGAAAAACTTTTTTTTTTCTTAAAGTGATAGGCAACCAAGTGAACAAAGAAAGGGAAGATATTTATAAATGAAAAGAGTAAATAAGGTAATTATGTATAGGCAACCAAATGCATGATCACATAAAGGGCAAGGCTAAATAAGGTAATTATGTATAGGTTAAGTGCTGCACAACCTTGGTGTTATTTGCACTTTACATTTATCACTTAATTAAACTCTTTAATTAACTCTTTCTTGGAAATTCTTGATTTCCTCCATTAAATATAAGCCTCTAATCTCATTTTAAATCAATAATGTTACTTTATATTAGTGTCCCATTATATTCTGAACATATGGTCAATGATTATAAATTAATCTTACTAAGAATTCATTTATATTTATAGAATGGCATTTACTAATACATCATGACCACACAAATGTTAAAAAAGTCAACATGTTTTAACAAACCTTTCAATGTATACTATGTAGTGTAATTCTATCACTTTATCATATATCTTAGAAAGAGAGAGAGAGAAAGGTGCAATGTCTACTCTCGGCCTATCAATTCATGTTTACATGTCATGTAAAATATTCACAATTTGTTTATTTGTATCATGTTTTACACAAAAATTACATGTCATAATTTGTATTGGCAAGAAAAATATGAAGTTTTTTCATATCGTGTCATCGTGTCATATTTTTAAATTGTTGAGTCTAGTCTACTCTCTAATCCTTACCTCATTAGTCCTAGAAACTTCTATATTAACTTTAAAATCACCTTGACTAAGAACTTTCTTGAGTTAATATAAGCCAAGAACAAACAAAATATATCCCTTTATATCATTAAAGGAGATAAATCCTTTTTGGATTACTCATTCATTTTTATATGCTTCATCCACACCCAAAATCACCCTTGTTTAGGTATCCCTTATTGGGATATATAAAAATGAAATCAGAGGATGTTAATCACACACAAGATGATTTGGCATCATAAGTCAAAAAATTAATTATTATACTACCAACACATAAGAGTTATTCCATAAGCACTTGAGTGATACAAAATGGAACTCTCACAATAAGTCATAGTTAGTAAACTTGTTCCTCTAACAAGCACTTGCATTTTATCTGAACTATCTTTATATTTCAACCTATGAGATCCATTTGTTTACTTCACAAATAAAGAGACTTAACATGTACAAGTTTTTAAGCATTATCAGTGCCTTGTCTTGACAATACAATGATACAAAAATAATGTTACGAATATAGTTTTAATGCATAAGGCTTTCATAATTATAACCCTTTATAATTTCTTTTCAAAACCTTTTATGTTTCATTAACTTTATCTAAATAAGTTATTAATAATATATTATTAAGCTTATGGATAAAGAAATACTTCAATTATAATTAGGGTAAAATATATAAATAGTCACTCAATTTTATGAGTCTTTTTTAAATGATTACTTAAATATTAATTTTTCAATTTAATCACTTAAGTTTAAATGTTTTTGTCATTCAACTGTTAGTATCTAATAGCATGCTAACATAGCATTGTCACGTTAATTGTTGGGCGACACATGACACTATCACATGATATGATAAGTCAAGTGGAATTGCTAATGTGACATTATAAATTTTGACAAAAAAATTAATAAATTTCGGTCAATTAACTTTTAAAAATTTTCTATTATGATCACTTAACTTTAAAATTTTACAATTTGATCATTAACAAATAAGTCCTCAAAAAAAATTTTTTTAAAAAAGCATTTGATATTTTTATTACATGAAATTAAATTATAAATTTCTTATTTTATTGTAATTATACTATTTAAATTTGAAAAATGAATGAATATATCCAATTGTCAAAATTACTAAAATAACTTTACTTTAAATCTTTGTAATTCAATCCCTCTAAATAAATTCAAGTATTTCATATTTCTTAATGTCAATATTCTAATTATGCAATAAAAGTTCAAAATTTTAATTTCATGCAATAAAATATTAAAAGAAATATAGATGACATAAATCTATTGTAATTAGAATTTGACAATATGAAATTTACTAATATTTTCGTCACTAAAGTTTGTGAAATTTATTAATATTTTGATTTCATTGTCAATGACTCATTGTCACTGCTAATTTATAATGAATTGATTACCAATGTTTATGGAATTTAATATAATAAATTATTTTATTATTTATGTTACATATTAAAATATATTGGGATATTACTCAAACAAGTCATTAAATTTTATAAAATAAAAAAGAAATAAATATTCAATATTTTTATTGCATAAAATTAAAATGTGAACTTTTAATTTTATTATCATTATACCATTTAAATTTGAAAAATAGAAGAATATTAATGAATTCCAAAATTACTAAAGTATTATTACCTCAAATATTTATCATTCAATTAATCCAAATAAATTCAAGTCATTATTTTAAAGTTTTACATTTTCATCACCAATGTTTGTGAAATTATCATTTAATTCTATGCATAAAAATATCAAATTCTAAATAATTAATAAAATATATAAACATTAAAATTGCAGGATTCAAAAATTTTGAAAATTTTTATAATTTTTAAAAATTTTTTACAATTTCTTTTTTTAAATTTTTAGATTTTTTCAAAATTATCAATTTTTTTTGTTCTGAAATTTTTAAAGTTTTTGTAAATTTTTTTTTAATTTAAAGAAAATTTTATTTTTATTAAAGTTTTGATTTTTTATGAATTTTTTAAGATTTTTTATTAAAATTTTGAGATTTTTAAAATTTCTAAGTTTTCATAATTTAAAAAAAAAATTAAAACATATTTCATTTTTTTATAATTTTTAAAAATATTTCAAACTTTTTAAAAAATTTGTAGATTTTTTTTTAATTTTTAAAAATGTTTTAGAAATTTTCTTCTAGTATTAACAAGGTAATTGAAGATGCGGATAATTAGACTTTTTTTTTTATATACTTATCAATATCTTATTAGATATTTGTGTCAAGTTGATAAATTGATTTAATAGCGTTAATCTAAGATACCAAAATAAATGACGGAATGAAAGTTGGAGTATCAAATTGAAATTTTCATTTTTTTAGATACCAAATTTATGGAAAAAAAAAATAATACAAGTGATATTTTTATATTTAACCTTTGGAACTATATATGCCAACTAACGAATAATGTGGGGACCAGTTTTATTTCATACCATTGTTTTCAAACTAAACTTGCCGGCTTATACGGATATATATAATCGATTATTTCATTACTATATTTGTTAAGTGTATTTGACATAATTTCTAGAAGATAACTTGTGTTTTTGACAAAATTTACAGATGAGTCGTCAACCAAGAATCATAATTTAACTACGCACCAAATTGTCTCCACCCAAATTTTCTTTGAAATCTAGAAGTGTGCCGTTGAATCCACGGGCCGAGGCAGGGAGTGAAACTTCAAAATGTGTAAAAATATTTAATTAAAATATGGTATATAGTATTAACTAGTTCTGTTATGAATACTCAAAAGCTTACGATAATAGTATTTTATTTTTTATATAAAAACAAAAACCATAATTTAAGAATTGAAAAAATAATTATAACCATTAGGATTCAAATTTCATATTTGTTGAATGTTATTTCTTAAAAAGTAACTTAATAATATCAATGAAAAATCCAAAATTTTTTTAGAAGTAGGTGATTATAATATATAAAATACATAATTATATTTTTACCAATACTATCAATATATGTAATTAAATAATTATTAAAAAAATAAAAATTTTGAAAATGTTTATAAGAAAATTTTGAGGGTGTAAAAGAAATGAACTTTTAAATTTTCTTATTTTTCAAATGTAGATGGACAAGCCACTAAAATAAATGCATCTGGATATGCATGATCCAACTTATTTAAATTCCAAGTTAGATATTTCATTTGTTTTACGTCAGATTTGGAAGTTTACTCCAATTTTTTAATCAATTGAATAAGACAAGTGAACTTCTTGTCCTTGTCAAATAGAAAAAGATCAAACGTAGCTTTGACGTTTAGTGGGATACAATTCGTTTTGTTAGTACCCTTAACAGCTTCAATAAAAGCTATGGAGTTCACAGTTTAAATCCCCCATACAAATACTTCTCAGTTCCTTGCTACTTTTTCCCAAGTCCAAAAAAAAAAGGGGTAAAGACGAGTAACGTAGCAGTGATCATGGCAGTTTTGATTACAGTGCTCTCGGTTGTGACCATTGCCTGGGGTCTGCACTTGTTGTATGTGATATGGTGGAGACCAAAAATGATAGAGAAGCAGCTATGGAAACAGGGCATCCATGGATACCCGTACAAGTTGATCCATGGGAACACCAAGGAGATGATCAAGTTAGGTAAGGAAAAAGGAGCGGAACCTGTGGAAAAGCCGCACGACATCTTGCCTCGTGTCAATCCTTTGCTTCATGATCTCGCCACTACTTACCGTATGTTATACGACTTTTCCCTTGTTTAATGATTTCAATCAGTTTCAGTCTCGTTTTTTTTCCTTTTGTTTCCAACTTTTGCATTCCGGGGTCAGCCTTTTTAGTTGTCATACTTTGAAAAAAAAAATCGTATGGATCAATAGAAAGCAGCTGAGCCTAGAAAATTAGAATGGTTGTTTGACTTTGGAACATAGGCTGGGATTAATGTCCGTTGTCCAATCTAGAATTTCAAGCTAGTACGCATCAAATATATATATATATATATATATATAACTCTTGCGATATTCTGGAGAATGAAAGACGACGAAATAGAGAATATAGTAGAATGATATTCATATATTCTAGACTGATTCAGCATACAAATGAACTTTTCTTATACTACAAGTTCAATACATCACCCTGTTTGTCCCCTTAATTTTCCTTATAAATGATTTTTTTAAAAGCCACACAAAATAAAAAATCAAAAGCGGTTTTTTACTAAGGAGACCAGCCTAAAGATAAAAAAATTGATTATAAGTATTAAAATTTAAACTTCTAAACGTTATATTTTAAAATGATTATATGAATTAATCGAGACAAATTTTGAATTTTAATCAAAATCGTTTCTAGTTATATAGCGGAAATAGATTTTATTTTTTTAGTTTTAGTTTTAATTCATTATGTGATCTAGTGAAATGGACAAGACTCCTTTCTTACCCTGTTTCCGGTGTGATGTTTAGCCATCTATCAAACCATTTGTTCAGCATGCTTCAACAGAAAAAAGAGCATGTAGAGTTAATAACCAAAGACGGGAGTCTTCCCTGTACTTATGTGAACAAAACAATATGCTATTATCAAATTTAATGCCCGTCGACTACATTACCTGAATTCTTCATTTTATCTGCGTTGAACATCTCTTAAACACTTTAAATTCATAATGCTATGACATTTGTATTCTTATAGATAAAGTGTTTATTGCCAAAAACATGATGAACCCGTGTCCTGGCTCCCTATCCGGAGTCCTTGTAGCATAAGTTGTCAATGGTCAAAAGATATGTAAACAACAAGAAGCTCACTGTATATGTGAAAACCATGCAGAGAAATCGTTCCTTATTTGGTATGGAACAACTCCTTGTGTGGCAATCATGGAACCAAATTTAATAAAAGAGATTCTGAACAACAAATCTGGTGATTTCCCTAAGCCAGAAATAAATTCATTTACGGAGCTCTTCGTGACTGGCCTTGCAAGCTATAATGGAGATAAATGGACCAAACACAGGAAACTCGTTAATCCAGCCTTCCACATAGAGAAGTTGAAGGTTATCCTGCCTGCATTTGTGGTTTGTACCGAAGAATTGATTGGCAAGTGGAAAAAGCTTGTCAACTTCATGGGATCATGTGAAGTAGATATATCTGTCGAATTTCAAAACTTAACCGCGGATGTCATATCGAGAGCAGCTTTTGGCAGCAATTTTGAAGAAGGGAGGTTGATATTCCTTTTCCAAAAGGAGCAAGGTCGGCTCTTTTTACAATCTCAGATGAGCATCAATTTCCCATTGCTAAGGTATATTTTACCTAATGGCATTTGGTCATGAATATAACCTTCTATTTCACTCGTTATCTGGACATTTACTTGGCAATCCAAGCTGTTTTTAAGACGCAATAACAAAACCCAAAAATTCCTTCTCAATCAGGTTTCTGCCAACCGAAGTAAACAAAAGAATGCAGCACATACACAGAGAAGTTCGATCCTTGCTGACAGGTATAATTGAAAAAAGACAGAAGGCTATAAGATCAGGAGATCACAAAGATGATTTGTTGGGCTGGCTACTGAAGTCTAATCTCAATGAGCAAAAAGAAAAGAAGAATTCCAATGCCGGGATGACCACAGAAGATGTGATCGAAGAGTGCAAGTTGTTTTACTTTGCTGGTCAGGAAACCACGGCCAATTTGTTGACATGGACCATGGTTGTGTTGAGCATGCATACTGATTGGCAGGAGCGAGCCAGGGAAGAAGTATTGCAAGTTTTTGGGATGAATAATCCAACATATGATGACCTGAATCGCTTGAAGATAGTAAGTGCAGTTTGTGTTGGTTTTGTGGCTTCTCTAGTGCTGTTTGATTGAATATTGATTTTTCTTTTACAAGGTCAACATGATTCTGCTTGAAGTTTTGAGGCTATATCCACCAACATCCCTGATTCGATGCACATACAAAGAGACCAAGCTGGGAAATTTGTGTCTTCCAGCAGGGGTGCAGCTGTTTATGCCATTGCACCTTGTCCATAGGGATGCAGAACAATGGGGAGAAGATGCAATGGAGTTCAAGCCAGAAAGATTTTCAGAAGGGATTTTCAAGGCAACCAAGGACAAAATATCGTACTTCCCTTTCGGCTGGGGGCCGAGAATATGTGTTGGACAAAACTTTGCGATGCTTGAATCGAAATTGGCTATGGCGAGAATCTTGCAGAACTTCACATTTGAGCTATCGCCAAACTATATTCACGCACCATATGCAGCTGTAACACTTCAACCTCAATATGGTGCTCAAATAATCTTACATAAATTATGAGAATAAGAGGCACCAGCTGACAGCAACTGCTTCTCTAATCTATCTTGTTTCGCATTGTGCTTGTACATCTAAAAACTGCAGTCTAATTTGAAAAAGCCTCAATCATTATTGCATTATTACATATAGTTTTACTCTTTCTTGCTACATCTTTGATCATAAAATTTTAATAACTGGGGTATGCCTAAAACTAAAACTACTTCATATTCCATTTTACACTTGACAAATAAAGGGATCATTACCAAAGATGAGTTGCAAGTCATTACAAATCATCACTTGTTCAACCCAAAAAGAGTCACATAGATGTGGGAAAGGAAATTCATGGGCTTGAATTACCAAGGGGGTGAGAATGAAAGAACCGGTAAGAAAAAAATTTTTAATTTCCACTTTTAGTTGCAATTAAAGTCATTTATGGACTAGTTCAACAATTATTATTGTTGAAAATAGCTTTTATGTTCAAATGTAAATTTTATGATGAACAAAAAAAATGAGTTACAAAAATTAAAATTGACATTACAATCAACAGCCATGGAAGTAGCCTTCAAAATCATGATTTTTTAACTATCCTCTCTGTACTCTGGATTTTCTATCAAAATAACATGGCCCTCTAGAATGGGCGACAGGGGAATATACCTATACAAATGGAATCGTTAGAGAAAGAATTCAGTTAAATGATATAGCATTCAGACGACTCACTCAGAAGGCAACTTACTTTTCAGTAGCCAGTTCTGCTCTGTCGCCAGAAGCAAGAAGAATTGGGGTGGAATGGGTTTGGAAGCTGGTGATGGTCTTTGGTCGACCAGCCTGACCAACAACATCAACAGCCTGGCCCACCCGAACTTGGACTGGCAGAGGTTTGAGGTTTTCATCAACAGTCATCAACATCCTTGGCTGCACAAGAAAACAATATTATATGACGAGAAAAATTTCATTAACACACACACACACAAGCACAGAGAGGGAAGGTAAGTGGTATGACTGAAATCAACCTGCATTGCCAAAACCAGGAAGTAGAGAACAAAATGGTATTTCCCTAGTACTATAGCTTTCATATCAAGACATGCATGCAGCATTGTAACCAAACCAGCAAGTGCAGTCCTGGAGTAACAAAAGAAAGAATTTTTATAAGGTGAACCGAAATGAAGCACCTGCTACAAATTTACAGAAAGAAAGCCACTTCCCAAGTCAAAACTGAATATGTTGTTTTGTAAATTTTATTTTTTTATTTTAGTGCATGTTTATGTGGGAAGAGCCACTTACGGTGATAGCAAAAAGCGATCAGAATGATATGGATTAAGAGTCAACAGACCCTTCCCCAAATGTACTAAACCTTGAGCAACTCGCACCTGCACAAGCAATCAAGCCTTACTTCTCTAACAAAGCACATGGTATCATGAAATAAACTATAAAGACAAGTACAAGAAAACATACACAGAATAGAAGGCTAGCATCTTTGTAGTAATAACTCGAAAGATTGCGAAGCATGCCAGCTATACGAGCATTATTGGTTCCAGCACCTATCAAACCCAAGGATATGACTGCAGCCTGTAGCGTCCACACAAAACTTAAAGGGCAAGCTAATGGAAAAACAAAAGCAATAAAGAAAAAACTTTAATCATCTTACCATTGCAACTTCTGAATCTGTATCATGACTAAGCCTGCTTAAAGTGTCCATAACATTAACCTGTAGAATGTACGTGCAACCAATGAGATGGTGAGAAAGAGATACAAAAATTTGTAAAACTCTCTCCGCAGCTTTCTGAACTAATGGATCTGGACCTTAAATCTTTGGTTTAAGAGCAGGGTCATGCAAATTATAAAGAAACAAGTCAATTTTAGTTGTTCTCTGCTTCTCAGTTTGAATTCACTGTAGCTCATTTGCTACGATGAAAAACTGGTGCCTTTAAATCATCATCCTAAAAGTTCCCTTGAAAATGGCCAAACTAGGTTGTTCAGCTACGTGTAATGAGATTAATTTACCTTTGGGTTTGATATACAAAGAAGGCCAAGAGCCAAAGGAACTGCCCTTCGGATATTCTGCTCACCATACTGCAAAAGATGCTCTAGTGATCGAATTGACATCTCAAGACCCAATTCTTCAGCCATTGCTACCATGGCAATTCCAAGCACAGCTGGTCCCTGGTGGCTTTCACCCTTTTCAAGATGCTGAGCACAATGACCAAGAAGATTTTGGACCTGCAATATAAAAAAGTTTAGCCAACATGCACACTAATTTGAATTTGAACAGCATTTTAATGGACTAAGAGATCACCTTTAGAACATTCCCAGTTCCAGCATAAGCACAAGAAAGCAATGTCATATCACAATATTTTCTAATTTTTTCATTAAACGTTTTTGAGACCTCTGCAGTGGCCTCCACACTTTCCTGTTACAGTAAAAGTGTGTGTAAAATAAGTCAGGATTAAATGTTTCAAAATGGCATGTGGCAGACTCTACTTTTTCTCAAACTGAAAACTAAAACCTATGGAAGCTAGGACCAAACGAACATGTAATTCACCTAAGAGAAACAAATATATGCCAGTAGCCCAAAACTAGTTATTTACCTGCTTCCCAAGATATAAAAGACCAAGACCAAGAGGAAGAAGCCGAGTGAGGGGCTCCCCCAATTCTGACTCACTTCGGTACTTTACAGCAAATATAATAGCCTGTGCAACCTCCTCATTGCAGGAACCCACATATATCAAACCCAATGAAATTGCAGTAAATGATATCACATCAAGGGGGGTTCTTGCATTGTTAAGTAAGGGAGTCAAGCTGCTACAAATCTGTCAATAACATTTGTAAGCCTTCATTAGAACAAAATATGACCATCCACACTTTCTGCCAGATTCCAAAAGAACCCAACAAATTTGTTAGATATTTAAATGACCAAAAGATTAATTGCATCCAATAAAAAAATAAAAGAGGTAACCTGCATTTGTCACTAAGGACATAATGCCAATGCCACAACCTACAAGGTTAATTGAGAGAGAGAGAGAGAGAGAGAGAGAGAGATGTATACCTGCTCATTTTGAGCACCTGCATATGCAATTCCTAAACCCATAATTGCAGCAATTTGGATTGACGAATCTTCATTACCTATGTATTCACTCAGAAGCGCCAGTGCCTGGGAAAAGAAAATAAGACAGACATATGGCAAACATTATACCATGTGCATAAACCAAGAGATGGTGAGGAGAAAAGAAACTCACAGGATCACAATGATTCTTAACACCACAGTTGACGATCCCAACTCCTAATAATGCTCCAGCAATCACATGTTTATCGTTGCTATGCAGATACTTGTCAATCTGAGCAAGCCCAGAGTCAACATCCCACAATAGAATCATTCCCTGTTATGAAGAAAGTGAATCTCATATTAAACTAGATTCCTAACAGGAAATTGAGTAACCAATGTAAGCACACCCTTATTGAAGTAAAATTTATAATAGGCTCAACGTACCAGACTTGCTGCAGCACTGGTCTTCCCATGTTCTTTGTTTTTGAAAAGCCAATTTCCAGACGAAGCACCACTTGAAGAGTCTGATGGGATCGTCATTAACTTATCCTGCAAGGGGAAAACATTAATTGATATTAAAAACTACAATCTCATCCTCTCATTATTTTAAGTTTGCAACCTGTACCTGGCCAAAGCCTGCATTAACAAATGCATTGACAAATGTAGCGGCTAAGTTCTGTCTAGCTGAATCAACACTTGCACCAGCACTAGCACGGCCATCAAGCAAGTAAGCCTAACAAAATCCAAGCATGTAAGTACTCAGTTTCATGAAGCAAATTATCCAACATGGGCAATGTCAATAAGGTGCTCAGTATAATAACTGACCATGCATGTACGCACTTCACACCCTATTCGAAAACAGAAAAATAGAGCAAAGGAAATGGGGGAGGGGGGGGGAGGGGCGGGTACCAGCCACCCCACTATTGATAAGGCATTTGGTCTTATCTACTACATCAAAATGTTTAGCAAGTATTTAAGTCCAAACCTTATAGATATCTTCTGGAGATTTAGGCTCCACAACCTCAATATCACGAGCAAGGATGAGATAACTTTCACTTAATTTAATATTGTTGATGATATCCTGTAAAACCTCTCTGTCATCATCCTCTGCAGCCATCTCATCATCAAGCTCAAAAGTAATCCCCTGCAAAATAATAAATAAATAACTAAACAAACACATAAATACATAAACAACAAATAAAGTACATAATGTCCTGCACATCAAACACATGCACATTCAAACTCATGCGTACATACAGTCTAACAAGTTCAGAGAAATTTAAAGCCATCAATACCCAATTTTGATCATGAGAAGATGAAAAGTCAATCGTCCATAATTAGAAGAAAATATAAACAAAATAATGTACTCAGTAACAAATAGTTAGAAATGCTTTCCAGCACAACAAATCAAGCCAAAGCAAACCTAGTACTTACATGTCGAGCAAGAATATAGCAAAATTGCTTCTTCCTCAGCAGATTATCACAAGACGTAAACACCTGACTCACATACTGCGAAAGCACATTATAAATAGTTAGGAATAACAAATCCACAAATCAATTTCATACTGACATCCAAAAAAGAGTTTCTAAACAATGCTGCAAGGCATGAAAGGATAGGAACATAATAGAAAACAAACCTGCATTTTGTCGAGGAAAAGTGCAATCTGAAGTGCATTTGCAAATTCCGCAAACTTAAGATATAATGTGTATGCAATATCCAAAGCTAACATGTCATCTGGTCCAGGAAGGTATCTGCAAAATATTGCAGTATGAAATGTCAACACAGGGAGAACAAGAGAGAGCAACATCATTAGTCGTGGAGAACAATACATCCAAGATCTAGTTGAAAATTCTAGTTCAGCATTTAAGATTTAATAAATTTCACATATGATTGATTGGAGAATACTCAATCAGAATTCATCAAAGAATACATACATCAGGAGAACAAATAAAAACACAGTCTGTACATTGCCGGTGATAAACAAGTTGTTCAGAAGCTTTTAATTTCCTGTTACCTAGCAGTACTGGTGAGGTATAGACAAGTTCTCTTGAAATTTGTATTATCAACGTCCTGAACTAATAGCTCAAGATCATCAACCTGCAGCTGGGGGTAAATCATATGTTTCAAGCTCAATTAAAAGAGAAGGGAACTCAAATAAGAAACTAGAAGAAAGAAAAAAAGATGTTGTGTGGTACCTCCATCAAGAGATCAACAGCTTCAGGTTCAGCATTGTGCTGCATAGAAAGTACAAAGTATTAGAAACAGGAAAACAAGGAAAATTCAGAAAATAATTTGTCTTCTGCAATAAATCAATTTCCTGGTACATATGACAAGGAGAGAGCTATGCCTTCATGTGAAAAGAAACAATTTGTCGCACAAGCTCCGTTAAATCTTCAATTGGAGCCTCTTCACTCTGTATTGGTAGCAAAGCAAATACCATTAAAATCCAGATTAATATCTCACCATTAAGGAAAACCCTATAGAGAGAAATTCTCACAAGTGCATAACTCATAAAAACTATTATATTTCTAAAGATTCCTTAGGTTTCTAACCTGTTGCTTCATAAACTCTTCTGCAATTTCTCCTGCCAAGTTCCTGATAACAAATAAATAAACAAGCGAGAACAAAAAAAAAATTTCTGTTAGATTTCATCACCAACATGAAAAGATGATACATAGAAGGATAAAATTCACATTGGTAATCTTTCGACAATGAATTTTAAGAAAAGCAAGCTGGAGCACCAATACAGCAGTGGAAACCAATATATCAAAAGTTAAAAGTTAAAGCATGATCATAATATAAAACCATACACAAGTTCGACCAGATATAAATCACAGTAATACAAAATTTCCAGGAAAAAAAAGAGTAAAACAGTATGTTATCAAGTCAGACAATGCTCACCTCACATACTCATGGCCCCACGAACCAATGTCGCCTTCAGAACCCAACAATCTGTACTTTAAACTCTCCTGTAGGATTGTCAAATGAAAAAAATGATTGATTAACAAAATTAGAGCACAAAACATATGTAATTTCCCAAGTATAGTATTCCCAAAAATCAAAAACTGAAATGCTACCCGCTCGCCTTCTGCAGACATGGTCAGCGCCAAAACAGACAGGATATCAGCCAGGTATTTCTGCAAACAAGTGAAAGTAACTTAGTGATGCAGGACAAACGTAGAAAAAGGAAATAACTAGATATGAAAAGACTTTAAGAAAATTGAAATTCTCGATTTTGAGAATATGGCTTCTTGCAACCTGAAAGGATATAGGCATTTATAGGCTACTTCCTAAACCTAGTTAAAAAAGAAACAAACCTACTAGAAACAAATAACCTAAAATTTTATGTAAATGATCATTTATCCAAAAACAGATTATAAACAACAATTCCGCCCATGAAAAATAAATTAAGAACAGAGTCCCTATATAAATAAAGCCTCCACCTAGATCATCCCTCCCTGCATTGCTTAGCCCAAATAGATTACCATCATAAAAGATGTAATGGGAGATAATCAAAACAAAACAACTTATACCTTCAAATCTGATTCTGGCATTGTCTCATAAAAGGCCTTTAGGGTTCCATAATGAGGGCCGAGAAACTTCAATGGCTTTGGAACAGAAGTCATGGAGCTTGTTGAGGTGCGGATTTCATGCCTACAAAGGATATCAAGTCAAACGGTAAAACAGTGATGCTTTATTCAGGCAATGCAACTAAACCACCCGTGGATACTCCTACAAAAGGTAAAACCAACAAAAACACCGTTCTATCCCTCTGAAGTCGGCGGTATGAAAGGTTCTAAAAAAAATAAGAATCACGTTCAGCCGTAGTCATCCACTTCATAAAATGTTACTAAAACAATAAAATAAACACTCGTTCAAACTACAAATAAGCTTCTCTTCCTATATTTTTTACACAAATTCGCCAAAAAAAAAAAAATGATCACCTCACGCTTTCAAGAGCTACTTTCTGGAGTCCAGGATCAGGATCTTGAATTCTTTCTACATATAACTCCAACTGTTGTTTCAAAGCCAAATCCTCCTCCGACTAGGCATGTCAACAGAAAACAACCAAGCTAAGTATACAAGTCGATACAGTTAACTAAACTCAAATCCTGAACGGCGACTCACCAGATGCTCCTCATCTTTCTTCTCGGGCTCCTTGGTCGGAGCCTTCGTCTGGAAGGTACCGGCGCCGCTTTTCGGATCCGACATCGCTATTAGAGCTCTCAGTTCTCAGGCTTTACTTGGGGACTTTCTTTGGGAGGGAGCTTTCAAGAACGAAAAGAAAAAGGAATGTCGTTATTTTACTTGTAAGTTGTAACTGAATTTCTGCCCAAGCAATCCAGCGTCTCTTTTTTAAACTACCTCTCCTTTTTCCAAAACTGGCACTGCTTGGAAGTTGGACCGGGACGAACCGGACTATTATATTTTAATGGGTTAATATGTAAAATGCCGTTTAAACTAAACAACTTATGTGAGTTTGATACTTAAATAAATAAAATTTTTAGTTTTATATTTTAACTTTCATTTGTGAAGAATTTTGGAACATTGTCAAACGTGATATAAATATTTAATAAATTATATCATGTGTTATAAATATTTATTTGTCATCAAATCATATATTGACACGTTAGTTAAATTTCTTTTTTTTTTTCAATTTTAAATTACAAATATATTTTTAAAATATTTTTGAATTTTTATTTAAATGTTGAAAGGGAAAATAAATGATATATTGATTATTAGACATTTACATTATATGTCATGATTTTATTAGGTATTAATATTAAGTAAACAAGTTGACTAATACATTTGATTGGGGTACTAAAATACTTGATAAAATAAAAATTTAGGTATCAAAATAAAAATTTTATTTATTTAAGTAATAAATTGACCAAAAGTATATAATACAAAACATTATTGTTAATTTTGTTTTGATATTGGCTATTCCTATTGGTATGCTCCAATTATATTTAGATATAATACACTTAATGATAGGTTTTTTAATCAACTTAGGTATCGAGTAATACCAATTATTTTTATTGATTTTAATTAATTTTAGTAAATTTTAGTAAAATAATTTATTTCCATTTGTATGTAAACGTAAAACATGTTTTATAATTTTAACTTATCTTTTTGTTATTCGACGTTTTTAACTTAATAAAAGTAAAACTAATAAACAAAATTACACTTAACAGTTTGGTTATTTTTTTTATTATAATTTATTTTTTTTATATTTTATTTTTAATGAAAATTTATAAGTATTTTAATTTTTTTCAAAAAAGAAATTATCTTCTCTCTCTAAAATTTAAGAATTCTAAAGCTAAAATTAATTTTTTTTCATCTCTTTGTTTTATCTTAACATATTTTTATATTAAAAAAATATTTATTTAAATATCATATAATCACATTAAATATTTAAAAATATTATGATAAATTGATGGTTTTATTTATTATATTTTTAAACTTATTTTATTTAGTTTTTAAAAATATTGTATATTTATTTTGTATATTATTAATATATTATTATATAAATCTAAGTATATTTATAAATATATTTATATTAAACAGAAAAAATAAAAAATAATATATCAAAATAACTAATAATGACATATAATTTTATTAAAAAAATTCAAAACATTATGCGATATGATGGTATTAATAACCTTGGTACAGAAGTCATTTTTGTATTAACCCTATTTTAAATTGTTTATTTCTTTTAAACGCAAAGGTTCATTTCGAATACTTGGATGGACACATTGGATCAGCCTTGGGACAAATCAGGCCCAACAAAAATAATTAGGCTCTCCAACCTGATCCAATTTTTTTTGTACAAGGTCGTAATTATAATTTTTAAAAAATGCTCCAATTATATTTTTTTATATAAATGCAAAAATATAGAGTATTTATTGCTTTCCATATTTATAACTTTTTCTTTAGAATAGTTAACTTATTTTTTTATAAAAAGTTTTTTTATAATAACATTTTCATCCAATGCATTGAAAATAATCCATAAAATTATAAAATATTGTATTTAATATAAAATTATTGCTATAAATAAAATATTAATTAACCTAAAGAGTGTCCTAAGGCTTTTAATATTAATTTTAATATTGATTTAATTCAGTTTTTGAGCATTACTTTTACACTTGAAATCAAGCATGCCCCGTTAAAGAAGTTCAATAGGAATTAATCGAATATACCTCGTCTTTTAAACTCGTTAAAATGAGGAGCTGCTTTACTAGCAGTATTCATATGGTTTCTTTTTCTTCCTTGTTATTTTCATTGCTTTTGTGGCTAACTTTTGATCAATTGTATAATATCGTTTTTCAGAATAACATGATAAATTTTGGGGTTCATTTGAATTCTGCTATTTTAGCAAACCCAATTGATTATGTTCATTTGAATCAGGACAGCAACATAAGACTTGGCCCTTCAAGGAATATAATTAAGTCCAATATGTTGGAACTGTATAATCTTCAATTCTTTTTGATGTGCAAACACAAGTGAGACTAGAAAATAGAAAGATGAAACCATAACTTATTCTTTAAATATGTCCACTTCCAAAGTTCCTTTTTCCTTTTTCATTCATGTGTCATGACCTATATCTAGGGTTCATCCTCTTCTCGCCTCTCCTGGTACTCTTCCTTGTTCTGGAACTCTTCCATGGACTTGGAACTCATTGCAGTTCTCTGTATTTCCATAGTAACCTTCATTTTTAATAGATAATTCTAATTCTTCACATCATATAGTACTTACCACCTTCCACAAATCTGGTGTCACTCATTCCTTGTCTCTCAATCTCATAGACATTGTTGTTGTAGCTGCTTCTGTAGCTATTGGTTTTATAGCTGCTTTGAGTAGCCATTGTTGTTGCTGTTGCTGGTGTAACCAATATTGTTGTTATAATTGCTCGTGCTGTAACCATTGTTGTTGTAGTTTTTCTTCTCACAGCCCGTCTCATATTTTTCATCAGCAGTTCCTCAGCCAAAAGAACATTTTTAAAAGCGGTAGAAGTGGTGGAGTGTTGATTGCTGGGAGGACATGCCAGAGCCCAGACCATAATGGCCATAGGATCTAATTTGCTCTCCGAGTTAACGGGCCCTGGTGCTGGCGTTGACTTAGGATCCTCTAGAGGATAAATTTTGTCCCCAGAGTGGAAGGTCTTGCTAAAGAACTTGCACTCTCGGGCACCAGAAAGAAGAAAAAAGCAACGTAGTTTGCGAAAGGAACCCGCCATCAGTTATCAAGTTTCTTTTATAGACTTTGTTGCTGTGTTGATGAGCCGGCAATTATGGGTTGGTTGAGGAAAGCAAAATTCAAGAAATGCAGAAGAAAATAATGATGACATTCCTTGGAATATCAAACGAGCGAGACACCTTTAATCTCATCAACAGAAAGTGCCTGTCACGACGTTTATGGTAAGATAATCTATTAATTAGATATAAAAATTATAAAATTGTTATTAATATATTTTTTATTTAAATATAATTAATCATTTAAATAAATATTTTTAATGATTTTAAATGTGAATTAAGAATATCTAAAAAAAATAAATTTTAATTTACATTAATAAAATTAAAGCTTAGTACTCAGTTACATTACATGCAAATAAGATAATTTACATTAATAAAATTAAAATTCAAGAGTCAATTACATACAAATAAAATATTAGCCTCGTTTATGTTCAAAATTAATACTAAATTAATTATATACTATCTTACCTAAACCTTAATCAAAATTAATTTTATCAAGTTTAATAATTTTATTTATTTAAGTAACATTGTCATACAAAAATTTATAAAAAATATTATGTAATAATGTAATCATGCGAATATCATAAATATTATACCAATAAAAAAAAACAAAAAATCATGTTAAGACATCATACAATAAATTAAATTCATACCTAAACTATGCAATATAAAATCATATCATGTAATAAATATAAAATTATACCATAAAAAATACAAAGTGTATATTATGCAAATAATAAATAATCATGCAAATATAATATATAATCAAACAAATATAATATTAATCACGCAAAGATAATATATAATCATGTAAATATAATATTAATTATACAAATAATAATTAATCATATAAATAATAATTAATAATGTAAATAATAATTAATCATTAAAAAACACTAAATTTATTAAAAAATATATAATCATGTAAATATAATATTAATTATACAAATAATAATTAATTATGTAAATAATAATTAACCATATAAATAATAATTAATGATGCAAAAAATAATTAATCATTAAAAATCACTAAATTAATTAAAAAAAAATGCAAAATATATTATTCATGCAAAAGTTTCACAAAAAAATCATACAAATTAAAATCAAAACATACAAAAATAAATAATGCGAATAAATATCATTCAAAAATAACGAAAAAAAATAACCAATGCAAAAATCTGATAAAAGCGAGAAAATAACGAAGTTAAAGAATCTGGTTAAAGTCAAACATCAAATGGGTCGGACCAAAAACGGTACCTGCCCAGGTCCTGTAGCGGGTCGCGCAGTCAGCTCCAATTCTTCTTCTTTTCTCTCAAACGACAGTGTTTTGGGACTTATCATAAAGCTTCTTCCAAGCTAAAAAATGAAATTTCTTCTTGTCTTTGCATTTGGTTCCTTCCTCTTGTCCCAAAAGTCACCAGATTTTTCAAGAACACCCAAACAAATCCAAATCCAGCAGTAACACAGACCTCGGCGAATTTCACTGTTGCCGTCCACTGTCTCTTTGTTCCTCGTTTCCTTTTCTGCACGAAACCTTCAACCAAGAACCCACTGACCGCTTCCTCTTCAAAACACCAGAATACCGGTAGCCCAATTCAGAAATTGCCCAGCACCCATCTGAGAAACCGAGTGATTCCACCCCTTATTTCCTTTTCTTCCCAAACTGACTCCTGTTCTGTGTAATTGCTGTAGTCGGATTGCTGTTTTTTGTTCCTCGGTGACAAGTTCTCAATTTTGGTGTTGTGATTGTTTGCTGATGAATTGCTTTTTTTTTTTTTTTGGATTTTTGGGTATCGGTTTAGTGATTTCTGATTGCTGACTTTCGGGTTCTGTGGGTTTGGGTTTCTGAGTTAATTGGGTTTTTGCTGAATTGGTTGTCTGTGTTGAGGCTTGCTTTGCTGTCTTTTTTGAGTTTGGGTTCTTGCTGCTGGGTATTGAATTTTCTGGAGTTTCTCTGTTTATTGCTTGTTGGCTTGTTTGATCCTCTGCTGGTGATTTGCTAAAAAACTGCTTCGGCTTTCTGCTTGAACTTGCTTATTGCTTCCTGCTTGTTTGCTTCTTTGGTTCTGCTTAATTCCTGTAAATCCTTGTGTATCCTGAAATTGTCTCTGAAACCACCCAAAAATCTTTGGCTCTTCCCTCACGATTCTGAAATTCCTTTCACCTGAAAGCCTACGGAAATTGGGTTTGGCTAATCTTGCTGGGTGATCTTGGATGCCCTGTAATTGTTTCTCTGAGTGCCTACCAAAAAATTTTCAACATTTCCCAAACCCGAAAGCTTTCCCACAACTATTGCTTTTCAATGGCTTCTGTTTTATCTTGATTTACAGCTGTCCGGCCCCCACTTCGGCTGTGGGGAGCTGCTTTTAGACAAATAAAAGTCAACTCAATTTGGAAAAAAAAATTCAATTTTAACCGAATAGCGGGATCTTTGTTTTTCTCTGTTTTGCTTTCATCAAAAGGTTGCGGAAAAATGAAAATGGGGTCCTATCAGTTAAGTTAGTTAGCTATCTACAAGAAAAAAAAACAAAGAGAAACTATATTATGTTTCATTAGTTCAAATGTTCCTCTGGCAATGGATATTGACATTCCTTTGCTTTCTTGATAGTTAATCCCCTGAAGAATCAAAGCAACTAATTTTCCAGAATTCGGCTAGCGTTCTCTATTTGCAAACGCATTAAAGAGTAATGTCGTTTGAATCCTTTGCTTTGCCTAACTTACCCCATATTTATATGTCATTTGGATTTGACATGCATGAAACTTCCTCTTACACGGCTCGATGTTTATCCCTTTAAATCATCAATCACATTTTTTGAGGCATCAGTTAAGAGTCACTGAAAATTAATATTTAGGTTTAGCTTCATGATCAAGCTATATATATAATTTTTTACTCTCTGCTGTGACAAAGGTTAAGCAAATTAGATATTCGGATGATTAGTTAAAAAAACAAATGTTTGGAACACTCTATGCGATCGGGCCTAATGTTTGCTGTCTGTCTAGCCCTGGAACGATCTTCCCAAGAATAAGATGGACAATATATATGATCTCAAACTCCGTCCTCGTAGTGGGCTTGACTCATCTATGGGATATTTGCCCCAAACTATGGGTCAATTTGGATAAAATGTCAAATTGATTTGGGTGAAATTAAAAATAATATTAAAGACGATATTAGTTATTATAGTGATATGATTAAAATTAATGGTAAAATGTAGTAGGATATGTGTTTAAATATAGAAGTAGTGATAACGTGAAGTAAAATATAATAAAAAAAATTATTATTAAGTACGGTATATTAAAATTATATTAATAAATTTTATAATATATTTGATATTTATAAATTTAACAAATAATTAAAAATTAATAAAATTATTTTTTATCAAATCATAAATTTGTTAAAAATTAATAATAATATATTTGTCTATAAGTGTAAAGATATATAAAAGTAAAGATATATTTGTTCATTATTATAATTTTAAGGGTAAAAGAAGAAGAAAATATGAAAAAAAATTGGGATAATATTAAAAAAGAGAGCTGCAATGGGCAAAAATATTTTCACTGGAGGGGGTAGCGTCCAGTGAAAAAATAAAGTTCCAGTGCAATAGAAAATCAACTCATCACACTGCCCCGCTATGCCAAACATAATTTCAGTGTGGCCCTCTATCTTTGGACTGTAGATTTTTTACCTCCAAAGAGCGGTTAAAATCGTTTAATTAACCAAGACAGGATTTTGGCCTTATAATATAAGTTTAAATAAAGCATTAGGAGGCTTATGCAAATTCACTAATTCGAAGCCATCATTGTGTGTTATATTGTCAAGAAAATTTAAACAAAAAATAACTTATCTCATAATGTCAATCTCTTGTGAACAACTTCTGACAAATAAATAGTTCCCTATAGAGACAATCTTTCAATTGAAGCTCACTGGTTACTTTATGGACTGACATGAGAGACTCCTATTCCAAAAAGAAACACCTACGTCAATGCACAATTGTAGATCGTTAAAAATTGCATACACTTCCGTCTTGAAAATATTTTCCCACCTTAACTAGTGAAACCAAAAAGCCAATCCAAAAAATTTTTTTAGACGTCAGATTTTAATTCGGTACCATCTGGTATAGGTACATTGTTTTGCGTTTAAAAAATTTTTCATTTATTTGTTATTAAAAAAAAACTAAATTATTTATCAAATGGAACCTTATTGATTCAAGAGTAAAAAATGTTGGAACCTAATTTTATTTAACTAGTGCCATAGCTTTTTTTTTTTTTCCACTATGTTTTGTAAACATTATTCAGTTTTTTAATGAATTTAATAAATTGTTGCATGTGTAAACATTATTGACTCTAAAATTGTAAATGATATATTAGTACTCGTAAATTATAACAATTTAATTCAAATAAAACTTGAATTCGATTTAGTTATTATCGAGTCAAGCTCAAGTTCAAGTTCGAGTAACTTGACTTATTGATTGAGCCGAGTTCAAGTATTTTTATATCCGACTCAAGTTTCTTGTAAGCCTAATTAAATTTTTATTTTAATATATTTTAATTATTTTAATTGATAAAATATCTCGAACTCGAATTCAAACTCGAATACAAATAATCGAGCTTTTATTGAATATAAAATCGAACTTATTTTTATATGTTAATCAAATCTAATTGAGTAAGTTCGAATAACTTGATTTTTATCTCAAGCCAAATTTGAACTAAAAAAATTAAAATTGGTCGAATTTGAGCCAAATTTTGAGCTTTGAATTTAAAATCAAGCTCGAGCTTAAATTTAATATTGTATTGATTTGAATCCGATCGATTACATTTTTTTTTTTACTCAATGCTAGTTAGGAGAAGTTTTTAAAATGGATTTTTCTTAGTTGTGCGATTTTAATTTTATTGGATTTTTAATTAATAAACTTCACCTATAATTCTTACCCATATATAAAAGATCACACGTTAATTTGTTTTTGGATTTGTCATATATTTTTTAATGAACTTGAACATAGTATTAAATGTATTATTAACTCAAAAAAAATTGAAGAAAACTATATATATTAGAAAATTTATTACATATGCAAATTACTCATTAATTAGGGACAAACATAAAGAATATGTTAAATTCCAATAATCTGCTTTATTAAATAAAAAAGTTTTAGGTATAAACTTTTGGATAAGAATGAGATGCTCATCGGAAATGTTATTTTTTTTCTATTTTTAATAAAAAAATTAGCAAAAAAAAATTACTTTTTATATTGAAGCTGAAATTTTTTAATTCAACAAATGATATTAAGAGATTAACACTTATTCTATTAAAATATATTTATTTAAATTCACATATAGCATTCATGTAATACCATTTTAGAGTTTTTAAATTTTACCATAAAATAATAACTATTAATGAATTAATTAAAATATTTCTTACAAATTGGAATAAATTAAAGGAAAAATAAATAAAAAATTTTAATTAAAACGCAACAAGTAGTTCTGAAGAAAGAATGGTATCAGAGAATGAATGGCTAAACCATGTAAAATTATCCATATATTACCCCCTTGATCTTGATAGGAGAAATGAACAGAAAGAACTGACTACCAAACAGGAAATAATTGATTACTGCATTAGTCGGGGTTTGAAAATGTCTTAATATTTGGACATTTGTAAATATAGGAAATTCCTTTCGGAGTTTTTCATTCACTTCTCTGGAGCGAAAATTTTTTTTTTTCTTGGTTATTCTTCACACCAGGAAATGAATAATTGTTTTGTAAAAAAAATAATAATAATAATAATTGTAGATGAGAGAGTCAATGTCAAAGGTCTGCCACGTCAACTTCGATGGCCTGAGACGTTGGATTTTACAGTACTTCCATGCATCGGTGGGCCCCTTAATCATGTGGCTATAACTAACTCTCTCTTGGTTGTCACTCTTTCACTATCAGCTTACTATAGTACTCCTAGTTTTGGATTCCTTCAGTTTTGTTTAATGGCAAGTCCTAGATAATCGTGCCATAAACAACGACAGTTAGCGCAGAGATAGGACCATCCGCAGCCAATATGATCCAAAATTGACCAGAGTTGACGTCTCACTGAATTGTGGTCCAATAAAAATGTATGCCAGAGATTAGTCACTAACTTTTGTCTATAGTGTTTTGTTTTTTCAGAATCTTCTGTATGCAGTTTGATACACCTTCAATTTGCAAACAACGTTGTTATTATTTTGGAGCATAAACAGATTTCTTTTCGATAGATTAAATTCATTAAATTCAATAATATTATCCATCAATGCTATATGTTTTAAGATGGAATGAGTTATTTTCTTTATTCTTTTTTTTATAAAAAATATCACAATTTAAAAATAAAAATTATAGATATTACAATTGAAATAATAAACTTATAAAAAATTATCAATTTCGTAATTATATAAATTAATTGAATTAAGTTATAAATTAAAATATAGTTATCATTTATAATAGCTCAATAATTAGTAAAATTTCTTCCTCAATCATTAAGTAAAAGATCGTTTTTTGAATCTTAACAGTAGAATTTCCTCTCTTAAACATATTATTAAATAATACGTTTAATTAAAAATTAATAATTAAATTAAAGAATTATTATGATTAAATATTTATGTCTTGTTCCTAATTTATAAATCAATATTGTCGTGTTTTATAGTCAAAGCATTAAATCTACACGTACATACATATTATGCCTCAAAAATAAATGAAAGTGCATTTTATATTATATAAAAAATAAAATGTATTCAATGTAAAAAATTAAAATATGTAATACTTTTATAAGTATCTTAATTAAAATACTCACGAAGATGAGTTTTATAGTTATTATTATTATTATTATTATTATTATTATTATTATTATTATTATCTCATTCATAAAACCATTAAAAAAAATTGGCTTTTTTAGCAGACATGTATCGGCAAGCTTAATAAATAAAGCTGTTCTCGCAAGGGAACAAGAACAACCAAGTTGTACTATAATAATTTAGTGGGAAAAACAAGAAAATTAAAAATAAAAAGAAATATTCTGAAATATTAGATTTCTACAAGAGCCTAACGTTGAGTACTGTCGACGAATTAAGGGTTTTTCCACAGTTGTCTTGAAAATGAGCAAAGTAAAGACGGCCGGGCTGTTCTATATATGTATGGAATCAAGCACAAGAAGGTGGTACCTTGGGGACTCCTTGACGTTGCAACTCTCTCAGAACACTACCGGTAGATGGCGGCTTCAGTCCAAGAGGAAGTGGCAGCCATGGTTTTGATAAAACGTCTCCTATAGCTGCATCTATGCTTTCTTTCGACTGATTCAAAACACATTAATTATTATAAAACACTATCACGCTTTTAATTAAGTTTTGTCAAATATCATTGTACCATGATAAAGATTATTCCATCTTACAAAAAATCTAACCAAAGCCATAACATATACAAATATAGATCATGACATGCATATTTATATGCATCTAAGAAATTTATCATTCAAATTATTATTTCATATGTTGTTGGTTTAACTCCGCACATGTGCTCAAAAGATTGATAAATGTATTTCTTTTTTTTTTTTTTAATATATGAAACTCCACAAATGTTATATGAGATAATATTACCGCCAATCATAATTATAAATTAATAGTAGTCTATCTATGATATTTTTAACTTTTTTATTTATCAGCCATAGGAACCATTTTGGACCTTATGATATTTAATTATAGGTTCTTTTCTTAAAATAATTAATATATCTGAACTTACATATGAAGACATAAAAAAAAAACAAAAAAAGAAAAGGCCAGAAAAGAAGCGTGCCTTGTTTTATTTTTATTAAAATAATAACTAAAATGATAATTAATTAAAAAAGATTTTTTTGTCTCATGGATTAAGATATTTTGTTAGCTTGTAGTACATGTTATCTTAATTAATGTAACACTAGTATTAAAGATGTACTCTAAAGCAAAGTGAAATCCACTAACCAGATGGAAGTCAATGGGAGGGTGAGGACCTGATTGTTCGGCCTCGACGCCTATGTCGGGGTCTGCTTTGAACATGGCATGGTAGGGAGGAAAACCCGGAATCAGTGGTGCAGCAAATCTCTGCACGGAAAGCACTAAATCCACTAAGCCTAAAAAACTTCATCATACGATAATTTCAGACGCCAATACATAACGATAGCTAAGAAGCCTCCAAAACAGTAATGAATGATTGGTTTACCGTTGGTGCCATTGCTTGTGGAAAGCAAGGTGTTCCTGGGGTTAGTCCATTTGGCACCTACAAACAAATAAATAAATAAATAAATAAAATTACCACTTTTTGCAGGATAGATACAAAGAAAGCACCTCATTTAACTTTTATATAGCTTACTCTTGCATATTTGTGGTGCATATTTGTAGCGGCTGTGAGAAACATTTTTATTTTAATTAGGTGCTAGACAGCTAGGGGAAAAGGGTGAGCAGAGCTTACACGTTGGTGGTGATGGTGCCAATACGAGGGGTCTGCAGATGAAGGGCCCCACATAGGCCGTGGCTGCGGCGGAGGGAATTGTGTGCGGGCTAGATGTTTAGGCCATAAGTGCATTAGGGATTGATCCACGGTGGGATGACCCCATACATGCAAAGGCCTAAAGAGGTGGTGATGGTGGTGCATGGGTGAGGGTGACATAGGCGGAAAACCCATAGTGGGTGCAAGCCAAGGATTCATATCTCTCTTGCCTCCACCAACCGGGATAGCAGCACCGTACACTTGTCTCCTATGGGTCCAGCTTGCCCCCTCCGCGGCCGCCTCACGAGCTAGCAAATGCTTTCGATGAGATCTATATTTCTGCACAACGAAACATAATTACTCATCTTCAAACCACTGATCTCCCTTCCTTTATAAAAAATTTATTTACTATGAAAATATATGCTAAAATAAATTAAATATGTGAGATGTCATTTAATTTCGAAGTTCATGTTTAAGTTATGAAAAAGTGAGATTCTAGTAAATTCTTACAATATATGCTCTTAAAATGAAAATTTTGTTCTTTCACAACATATGCATACAAAGATCTTTCCTCTTTTAGATTAAAATTTTAAACAATGAAATCCATATCCAAACAGATTCTGTAGAAAAATAATCAACAAAAATAATTATCAATCTACTCCAAAAGGAAAGAAACAAACTATAGCTAGAAGCATCGATCCGATTATTGTTCTCTCTTATCAAGAATTCCTTTCGAGCAGCGATAGTTAAAAAAAAAAAAAAAAAGGGATTAATGGTTATGTACTTGCAGATGGCTGGCAATGTTATGGCGAGTGAGACAATCGATTCCCATATGCTCTAAAATTCTTGAAGGCACCGCCTTATCCAGCCCAAGCAGCTCCACTGCTTGCACGAATCTCCTGTGCAACTCTGGCGTCCAATCCACCTTCACGCAATTCAAGAGATAGTAAGCCATGACTAGTTCAATACCCCCATTTCGAACAAAATCAACGACACAGAACAACTCAAACACTTTAACTTATCTGGCTAGATCTAAGGGAAAAATGAAAAAGAAAAAAGGTATAAATAATTAGCTTTTCAAAGGGCTCTCTCTTGTGGATAAGTCAAATACTCCTATCATTCCCGTGATATCCTAGTGCTCCTGGAAGTCTGTGAATGGTAAACAATTGAGAGAGAGAGAGAGAGAGAGAGAGAGAGAGAGAGAGACTGCCGCCATCATTGATTGTTACCTTAGCAACAACAAAAACCTAATTACTCTTACTTCTGTAATTACCTTCACTTTTCGCTTTCCTTGATTGTTATCCTTTGGTTGTGCTGATGGTTTTCTTCCCTTATCAGCATCTTTGGAAGGTGTTTTAACTGCTTTAGGTTCCTCTCTTTTGCTAACAATCTCCTTTCCTTTGCTTGAGCTCGAAACTAACCCAGAACCTGAATTAGAAACCTTATCTTCTTCCTTTTTCCTTTGATTATCATCCTCAACAGTTTTTTCTACTGATGTGTTTATCTCCAGTTCTTCGCATCCACTAGCGGGTAATTCCGTGAGAATTTCAGGGTCTATCTCCAAATCCGGCAACACATCACCTTCGACGTCAATGCCAACAAAAAGATCGTCAAAATCAGTACTCTCAAGTAAATTCCCATCAGCGAAATCAGGGAACTCTTCCGCGCTAATAGTGGAATTCTGCTTCTCTCCTTTATTCTCATCTTTACTTGTGTTCCCCAAAGGTGACACAGCTAGCATTAATTCAATCACTCTTTTTCCCCCTCAAAGATTAAACAAAACTGCAAAGGAAAAAAAATATTAAACCCAAAAATTACGTAGATATATAGTACCGCATGAAAATTGATACAGGCTATAAGGCTTATTCGTCAAAGTGTTGGTAGAAATGGGATTTTTTTTTTTCTGGTCAGTTGAACGGAGATGGACAGAAGGGGACACTCAATACGTTTTATGAATTGGTGGGGTTTCTTGTTGTTGTTTGATTGCACTGAAAGTCTGAAAGTGGAGCATGGAAAAGATTGGATCTACACCACAACTTCGGTTGCGATCTCTGGGATTTGTTTGTATTTATGTTTTTGTTTAGTATATGGACTACTTGCAGACAATTTCTAATTTTTTTATTATTAATTTTCTGTACATATTTCTTTAAATTTGTGGATGGCCTTTTTTTTTTTCTAATTTGTGAAAGGTTTTCAAAAAAATTTGAATCTCCATCCCATCATCTGTTATTATTTATATAAGAGAGTTTGTTTCTGAATAGAGAGGAAAGGGAAGAAAGTTGATGTCACAGCCGAATCATGGAAACTCTTGCAAAGTGAGAAATTGAAAAAGGTGAGCCAACTGATGACTTTATATATATATATATATATATGTATGACAATTATTGTTTTCATGTTAATGACATGAATTCTTAAAATATGAATACGATTCAAATTATAAAATATATTTAAAATTTAAATATGAATATAATATATTTATTATATATGTTATACGTTATACGTTATACGATATGATTAAAATATGTATAATTAATTTGTTTAAATATGACACAAATAAATACGAATAATATAAATATACATAAATAGATATAACTAATACAAATATACATGAATAGACATAACTAATATAAATATATACAAAAATCAACTAAAATAATAAATAATTATAAACTATCTATCATTTACAACTTGATAAATTTCGTATATTAATAATATAAAAAAATACTTACATATTAAAAAAATAAAAAACAATTTAATACCTATTCAATATGTATTTAATATATGTAAATTTTAATATATATATATATATATTACATAACTATATTAATTTTAGTATCAAATTCAAATTCAAAATGATAAACTATTAAAAATTAAAGAATAAAATAATAATATATAGGACTAATATTAATATTGCATTTATATTATTAATATAAAAAAATAAATTTATAATAATTATTGAACAAGTATCATAATTAAATATTTAAAATCATTTTTATATGATATTAAATTGTTAATTAAGTATCATAATTAAAAGATTAAAAATTAAAATATTTCTTATATGTTTATATTAAATTAAAATAAATATAAAAAATGTGTTAAATATGTTAAACATATTAAATATTAAATTAAACATGTTATTCGTATCGTGTCACATGTTTAGACGTGTCAACACATATAAGACACGAATTACATCGTGTCAAAATTTGTATCGACACGAATAAATATGAAACGCTTTTTTAAAAATATATATACGATTTTTTTGTGTCGTTTTTGTATTATATCACTGTGTTGTATATGAAATTACTAGGTCTAACTTTTTCATTTGCTCAAATATTAACTGTTTTATTAATTTATTCAATACTATATAAATTATAAAGAGTTTGAATACTCACCAATCAAGTAGTTAAATTGTTTGGAGGTTCTTAAATTGTTGTGAAGTAGAGAGGGTATATTTTTATTTCTCTAAGTAATTAATTTAAGATATAATGTTTAAGTTTTTTTGATATAATTTTTAATCTAATTCAATTATATCAAGATTCTTTTTAAGGGGATTAAGTTACACATTTTATAAGAGAGATACATAGTTGACTAGGAAAAAAAGGGAAAAAATATTTTTTAATGGTGTTAAGTGTGGAAATTTCTAACAACATGTTTAGTTCACAGAATAGAATATATGAATAATGAAATTGATATTTTGTGGAAATATAAAATAAGAGGAAAAAATAAAATACTCCTTTTATCTTTTAATGTGTGATGACTAAGAATATGCACAAACTTTAACAAATATATATTTTAATATTTTTTATTCAAAATCTAGAAACTCAAGTTCATTTTTATCTTTTTCATTTATTTTAAGCACAGGTAAAATATTTGGCATTTGGCACCAATTACTGTCATACAATACTTCTTTGCAAAGTTTTTGGTGCATGCCAACTTCCTAGTTGAAAATAAAATTCATTAATTTTTCTCGCTTATTAATTAATTGACCGCCAATTTTATTGAGATAATTAATCATAACAATCTAAGATGTTTTCATTTTTCATGGCAACCAAAAGCCTCTCTTTTAGAACCAAGAAACAAAGTAATCTGTAAAGTAGTTAGCTTGCTTGAAATTTAGGATAACTTCATTCCTTTTTTCTCACACTTTGTCTTCAATTATTAAGAGCACCATTTTGTTTTAATTTTAATCCTTATCTTTATCTTAAATGACACATGGATTCTTTGATACAAATAAACTCTGTTCTGTCTAAATCTAAAAGAAATTTAATTATCCAACAACGCCAAACCATTTTTGAGATGTTATTAAAGGAAAGTAATAATGGAATGCTAAAAAAAAGCTCTTTAACCACTTTTGCTTCCGTATTTTCTGTTTCTTCAAAAACAATTAGTAGAATTTGGAAACAAGCAAAATACTTTTTGGATAATAGATTGCTAGTTGATGTATGTTTCAAGTTTTTAAGAAATGTTATATGTAAAAGAATTCAAATTGATCAAATTAAAGTATCTGAAGTTCCTTTATGTCAACATACCAACTTTTGATTGTTGGCAAAGGCATTGAATGTGCCAAAATCAATGCTTTATAGGTGTGCTAAAAAAGGATTTGTCAGATCACATTCAAATGCATTGAAGCCATTTCTTATCTAATGAAATAAGAAAACAAGGCTACTATTTTGCTTATCAATGCTCAATCTTACCAATAGTGAAAATAATATACCCTTTAATGACATGTTTAATCTTGTACATATTGATGAGAAGTGGTTTTATATGTCTCGAGAATCAAAAAGGAATTATCTATTCCTTGAAGAAAATAAGCCTCTAAATACCTACAAAAGCAAACGATTCATCACAAAAATTATGTTTCTAGCTGAGGTAGCTTGATCAAGATATGATACAATTGGTAATGTAGAATTCTCAGAAAAAATTGGTATTTTTCCTTTTGTATATAAGGAACTTGCTAAAGGAAATAGTAATAATCAAATTGTAGGAACATTGGAAATGAAATCAATTTTGTCAATGATAAAAGATGTCACACAAACTTGTTTGATTGAAAAGCTTTTACCAGCAATTCAATCTAAATGGCCTCAATGTGATGCAATAGAGACTATTTATATTCAACAAGACAATGTAAAGTCACATATTGATCCTAATGATGTTGAATTTTTGGAAGCTATTGCTAAGGATGGTTTTGACATTCGACTGCTATGTCAACCACCAAATAGTCCAAATTTAAATGTTTTAGATCTTGGAATTTTTTTAAAGCTATTCAATCTTTTCAACACCAAGGAGCTCCCAACACAATTGATGAGCTAATCAATGCTGTTGAAAAATCTTTTAATGAATTTCTAGAAAATAGTCTCAATAATGTCTTTTTGACTTTACAAGGTTGTATGGTGGAACTTATGAAAGTTGGTGGAAGAAACAACCATAAGTTGCGTCATTAGGGAAAGATAGATTAGAAAAGTATGGTATTTGCCCTTGACTCTTCAATGTGATAGTGAACTTGTAAAAAAAGCATTGAATCGAATACAAGAATGAATCAAAAATTTGTGGAAGTTATCTTGAATGTTAGTTCAATCTTTATTTTTGGTTATGTATAGAAGACCAGAAGCATTTGCTTTCCTTTTGTAATTGCCATGATGCTTGTATTGGAATTGTCATTAAAGTTCAAAAGACCTAGGTGCTTATAAACTTTTGTTGTTCATAGCTTAAAAAGTTGGGCATTTGCAAACTTTTGTTGTTTATAACTTAAAGAGTATGTTTTCAAAATTAAAACAAATGGTTGTAAGTCGTCTTTGAAGCCTTTTATGGATTTTAATGTATTTTTGTATACTACTCTATAATTGGTTGTTTGTTTTTCTAATTATTGATTGTTAATGCATCCAATTTATATTGCTTTAACATTTATAATTTTCTTTATATTGCTATGTGATGCATTAAAGAGTTTAACATTTGTTGGTAGTATGAGTTTGTTATTGATTAGTTTTTCTTTTCAAGATTTCTTTAAGTGTGTTTTTAATAAATGCAAGAATTTTCAATAATTTTGGATGTTAGGTTTGAGAGAAGTTTACAAACTCTGTAATTTTATCATGTAATAGATAGTTAATTAATTGAAAACTCTTGTAAATTAAAAACAAGTTTTAGAAGAAAGACAATCTAGTAAGTTTTGTTTTTTTTTTTTTTAAACTAAGGTACGAAGTTTGTTTGTTTTTGTCTATTTTATGGTCTTATAGTTACTTTATTAGACTTTGTGTAATGATATTAATTGATAACAAACAAAAAAAAAAGTGAGGCTAAATTTGAAAACTTAAGTATATTTATTATTTATTTTGGGTAAGGGACAAACAAATTAGGATTCTTGAAAAGGAAAGATGGATAAAGATAGAGGGAGAATGTACTATGAAGTTTGGTTTATTAGAATCTAATAGAGGAGGAATTAGTGTTAATATGTTTGGTTAGTTAAAAGAATATGGAAGTAATAATTTTAAAAAATCATTTTACCCTTGTAATTTATTATAAAAATTATTAATTAATTAAAATTAAGAATAATTTAATTTAAAAATTAATTATTAATTAAGATTAAATGAATAATTTTAAATATTAATATTTTAATTTATATCAATTTAATAATGGTAAATATTAATTTAATAATATATTAAATTTAATACCATTAAATATTAATTTAATAAATATGCCTAAATATAAATTTAATAAATATTAATTTACTATTAAATATTAATTTATAAAAATATTGTTTTTAATATTTTAATATGATTTGAATATTAAATATTAATTTAATCATTATCTAAAATTTAATATTATTTTAATAATATTTGAATAATGTTGGACTTATGGTTCAAGAACTCGATCACCGGACTTTGGGAATGAAAAAAAAGGGGGCTAAAAAGCTTTTTTAATAGAAACCAAAATAAATGAGTTACTACCATTTTTTTTTTTTGGGTATGATTAGCCACCCGAAAACTTTATCCTTTTAAGAAAACATTTAAAACGAGTTTAAAGTTTTACAAAAGAATATTTTATGATGTGTGAAAATAAAGTTGAGTTTGGGAGTCGGTTACGCTGGGGAAGGATTAACACTCACACAGTGTTTGTCGAAGATAGTGCCAATTGATTG